GGAGGAGGAGGAGGAGGAGGAGGAGGAGAGGAAAGGGGGGTGGAGGCCAGGGGGAGGAGGAAAGGAAGAGGAGGAGGAGGTGGCAAGGGAAGAGGAGAGGAGGAAAAGGAGGAGAAGGGGGAGGAGTGAGGAAGGGAAGCAGGAGTCGACTTGGACGTCAACCGCACGCCGCGGCCCGGCCCGGGCTGCAGGAGCCGAGCGATGTATAGAATAACATCCATCATGGCTACACCACACACCTCTCAATGTCAGTCGGGCCGGCTGTATTGGGAGAGAGAGAGACGGGAAAGATAGGGAGAGAGAGGCCAGAGAGAGAGAGAGAGAGAGAGAGAGAGAGAGAGAGAGAGAGAGAGAGAGAGGGGGGGGGGGTAGAACGGAGCGATTCGCGCGACGGCAGCGGGGAACGCGTGAGAAACCGCCCTTTCTCGCGCGCTCTCCTCGCTGTACTTGCTACTCCTTCCCTCTTCCCGCAAAAGCAAGGTCGTTGCGTAGTCAATTTTTCGCTTGGAAAGTAGCACTGCTCCCTCGCCCTCTTCTTTTCTCTCTCCGCCGCCTGCCCACCTCTCTCTTTCTCTTTCCCACACGCCTCAACCCCTTTCCCCGCGCCGCCCCGAAGGGCGACAAACATGGCCTGGATACAGGCTTGGTGATTGATGTGGGGCCTGGTATCGGTCTTGGCGTGCAGCCGAGCCGACCCCGGCCCCCAGCAGCAGCAGCTGCAGCAGCAGCTCCCTGACCTCACCCAACCCCTCTCCCCCCCCCGGCGCCACTTCAAGAGCGGTGTAACGGCGCAACTTTCTCCTGCACCGCTCCCTCGCGGAGGTGTGCTCCCGGAGGCACTTAAAGGTGGCGGTTCGTCGGCGCCGGGGTCAGGTCGCCCTGGGGTCGACGACGGGCAGGCCGGGGTCATCGCCCCCTACCTCCCCACGTTCCGCTGAGCGACACTCACCTGCATCAGGTTGAAGCACATGGCGATGAGCGCCATCCCGAGCATGAGGTACATGGAGCAGAAGATGAACGACACCTCGACCTTGTTGGAGTAGACGTAGCCGCCGGGGACGATGTCGCCGAAGCCGATGGTGGAGAGCGAGATGAAGCAGAAGTAGGAGCCGTCCAGCATGTCCCACTGCTCCCACTTGGAGAAGAGCACCGCCCCGCCGCAGACGTAGCTGCCAACACGTATCGGTGACACGTCAGCCGGCGAGTAGTATTGGGCTGCGCAACGGTCTGTTGGGCTCCGGGACGATAGAGTGTAACAGGGGAGTGGGGCATGTTTAAACAACGCGTTTGTGCTCCAGACGGGCGGGGGGTCCGCTACAGCTCGCCGGGCCCGGCCGCCCCCGCCCCCATACCGCTCAATCACCGTTCGTAAATGCCCTGAGTCCAAATTATTCGTGAGACCGGTTTTTGGCATCCACGCAAATTTGAAAGGTATGAGCGGCACCCTTTTAAAAATGGGACGAGTGCGCCAGGAGCACGGTGGAGGGTTGTGAGAGTTTTGATGATTAGGTTACAAATCGGTTGGTAGTATTATATACAATGTATATTTATTTTAGAAAACTTTTGATTTAACTGTAACAGTTGAATTTGTTTTTCCAAAATAAAAGGCAATCAATCCACACTATTCTTTTACTCTTGTCACAACTACCCACTGATTTGTAACTTAACAAAAAATCTCCAAGTTAATAAGATGGTCACGTTTCACTACAGTTTATTAATTGGTCATGATACACCTTAGTGTTCAACGTTATTCAAAACCTTTAATACCTTTCATTTATTCACAAATATTATAAAACTCGAGTCATAGCAAGTGAAGGAACAATGTTCCTTGCTCTGATTTTGAAGTACTCATTTAATTTAAGTTACAATATGCTGAGTTCAATATTGTTCGGTCCCTTCTAGGTTCATTATTACTCTTGTGACGAGAACATGTGGATTAGTAGCCCTGTAGACATTTGCTATTGGACGATTAGGAGACTACCAGTCATTCTATAATGAGTAAACGGCTTGTTTTGTACAATGAGACCTAATTTTAAAATTGGAATATTTTACACGTTTTAAAATTTCAGTGGTCATTATAGATCTGGATTCCTCTTGCATGATTAAAACGGAAATGTCAAATGGTTACAGCCGATCAGAGTCGAAATGGAAAAGTAATTAGCCTTCAAAGGGTGAAAAGTAGTCAAAAACGCCAAATTGATAATTTGGAGGCCACAACTGCTTCCGCCTCGCTCCCGCCGTGCATGCTCTGCTCTCGCTGCGCTCTCGCGGTGCACCTACTCTGCTCGCGTACCTCTGGGTCAGTGAGGCAGGTGTGTACCTTCTCTCCCCTTCCCCTCTACCTCCCACTGCCGTATCACGTTCCAGGACTGCCAACGCTTCACTTCCGGCCCCGCCCGCTCCGTGTGAAAATATAGGCAATCTTTGCGGCTCCACTCTGCTACCTTCTCTGCCCCAACCCCTTCACTCCCTCCCGCCGCCACCACCCCTACTCCACCCCCACCCCACCTCGACGCTGTTCGCACCGGGGAAATCTATTATGTCAGCACAGAGGAGGGTGCTCGTTTGCTGTCTCTTTTCCCACTGTCTATCTCCTCTCTCTCTCCCTCGCGCTGTCGTGCCGCTCTCTGTCTCTCTCGCTCTCTCTCGGGGCACGCGGTTCCGAGTCCGCAAACAAGCAGACTATTTCGTCTTCCTCACCTTCTCTAAGCCGCGCGAATTGAAACAGGCTTCAGCAGGGGAGCGCGCGGGTCTTGTGAGTCCGGTCTCTCGGAAGGGAAGAAGAGGGGGGTTCCAACGAGGAACGGGGTGGTAGTCCCGTCGTGGTACGCGGGGAGAGAGGGAGAGAAAGAGAGGAATGTAGGGAAAAATAAATGGAGGTGAACGTCGGGGTTAGTTAGTGGGGAGAGGCGCGGAGAGGAAACTGTTGACGCGACACCTTTGCTAAAGGGGCGGCGGCGGCGCTTGAGGCTGCGGAGAGGAGGGGCAGGTTTGATTTGACGACTGCGGAAAATATTTGCATAATACGGTTGAGGGCAAAGGGGCGCAGTCGAGGTGGCGACGTACTGCGTGGAGAGAAGGGAAGGAGGGAGGGAGAGAGAGAGAGAGAGAGAGAGAGAGAGATAGATAAAGCAGGGAGGGGAAGACCAAGTAGTACCTGCCGCCACCTCACAACTCCCACCACCACCCTGCCGTCGCTTTCACGCCGCGCTGCAAAACCTTTTTCGAGGGACTCAAAAAAGGAGCGAGGACGAGGATTTCTCACACCCAGCTCTGTTTCTCGAGCGCGATCTCTCTCTTTCTCTCCTCGCTCTCACTCTTTCTCCCTCTCTCCCTTTCTCTCGCTCTCTGCTCGCTCGCCCCTTTCTTTATCGTGCGCGGATAAGTGCATCGTGGGATATCCCTCCCCCTCCGGTCAGAGCCGGCTGGGCCGGGCTGGGCCCACCGCCGCGCCCCACACATACACTGCTCCCCCTGCATATTGATGGCCGCAATCGGATTTGAATATTTCACGGCGACGTGTGAAAGGTGAAACTGTCTGGTCCGGGCCAGGCCAGCCGGGGCCCTTTCCGAAATTTGTGGCGGCATCTAGCCGCCCCCGCGGCCCCGGCGCGCGGTCGGCGGCGGGGGGTGCTCCGGTCTGCGGCTGTGGCCCTCCCGACCAGGCCCGACCCGACGGGACTGGGCTCGGGGCTCGGCTTCGGGTCTCAATCAAGGGGTAAAACTCAATTTTTGCGGTCCCGTTGCCTGTGTCTCGTCGTCCTGCGCCCTGCGAGTCCGCCATACCCATCTGAGCACCATGAAGTCAATGTCATAAAGGTGTAGTATTTTGTCCGAGTGGGGTAAGGTGATGGACACTGTACCAGTGATGGCCACTTTCCTCGATTTGCAGCCAAACTCGTCACTTTACAATCTTGGCACGGAACTAATGTGCTAGTAAGACTCCTACCGTGGTATAATAAGCGAAACTACCTCGCTCCGTTGTTTACATTCCAAGGAAAAGGGGGGCAAGTGCGATGTGCACAGGGCAACTTCTCACCCTGTAGCTCCTAAACTATTGGAGAGAATGTGTCCAAAGATTAAAAGGCATACAGCTCCAAAGGCATTACAGTTGATACTTTTTAGAATACCATTCCTGGTAATTTATCCCAAAATGACATTGGTTTGCTCATACAGAAAATATTTGGAAAACACTGAAAATGTACTTTCGCTCCCCCAAAACGAGTTTAGCACCCCTTAAAAGGTAAGAACATCGCACCTTTGTTTTTCTAGTGATACCTTCCAACAACTCAAGCTGCCGAAGTGCTAGCCTCACGACGACGTGGCCATAGGGGACGGAGGAGCAAAAGGGGGGGGGGGGGGGTTGCTGAGGAATAATGAGAGTCTGTAATGAGTAGCGCGCAGTGCCGCGCTACCAAACTTTGCCCTGCCCGGGTGTCGGTAAATGAATTCCCATCATTACATGTTGTTGAGCCGGGCCGCGCTAAGCCCAGGCTGAAATTGGAAGCTGGTCGGCCGGCGGGGCGTTGCGTAACGTGGGTGGCGTGGCGGGGGCGACGGCGATGGTCGCCATTCGGCCGCCTGGAAAGGGGTGCGCGGCCTTTCCTGGCCAGCGGAAATAATTGGAGCTTTATTTTGTTTCTTTTTTTCTACGAGAGAGTACGCGTGTGTGGTATTATTGAGCAGACCTTAATGATGCAGGGCGTTCGACGCAGCACGTTACGTTAGCATAATGACGAAGTAGAGCGGTTGAGAGAGGCACTGTGGCGCCGGTCTACATGCAGCACGACGTACCTGACCATGATGGCGAGGCAGAGGGTGACAGGCACGGTGACGGTCTGCGGGTCGTAGTCGCTGCTGGCCGCGGAGCTCTCCCCGTCCGTGTCCTCGTCCGCCACCTCGCCTTCGTCCATGTCATCGTCGTGGATGTACTCTTCCTCTTCTAGCTCCTCCTCCTCATCCAGGTCGCCCTCCGTCGACGGCGACTCTTCCTCGTCGACATCCTCGTCCTCGACCTCCTGCTCCTCCTCTTCAACATCCTCCTCGCTCTCCTCGCTGCTGTCGTCCTGGGGACCTCGTCGCCCACGCCGGTGGCCTCGCCGCGGTGTCGGTTGCCCTGGAGAGCGCCCCCGCGCGGCGGCCCGTGCACTGCGGACACCAAAGGCCGGCTCTGCGTCCGCGTTCTGTAAAAGCACCCCCGGGAACCAACCGGGGCACCAGTCAGATCAAATCTTTTCGAAAGGCAAAAGGGCGCAAAAGTCGAACCGATATCCTGACCCCCGGCCCCAGCCGCTGAGCCCGGAGGACCCTCCCCAGGGAGTGCGTGGTCCGGGGGGCCGGCCCCGTCCCGGCCTCGGCCCCGGCCACGTCGTGGTGCGACGGAGGCGCAGGTGTCCTCCCGAGCTCGTACTCGGGCTGAAATGAAAAAGCCACACCCAAGTTTGTCTTTTTCCCCCTGCTGCCTACATTATACACCAAGCTTGCGTGCGGAAGGGAGGGAGAAAAAAACTTCGGCAGTAAAATGAAAGGTCTCCCGCTTCGATTCAAAAGTAAACTTTGCTCTAAATTTACATCGCGCGCGTTGACGTGCGGCGGGTGAGCGGCGGCGGCGCAGCGCGCGGTCCCGAACAGAAACAAAAGTCCCCGATGAGCGGAGGCAGGAGGCCATCGCTCGCTCTTTTGACTGTTGGCGAAATCAGAACGCAGGACGGAGAAAGGGCCTTGTTTAGCGGACGAGTCAGACCCGTCAAACACTGCCAGCAATGGATAAATGAGGTTGACGTACGTCAACCTAACGGCAAAAAGAAAACATGATTTTTGAAGTAAAAGGAAAATCACAATTTTTCAAACGTTTTGACCAACCTATGGAAATGGATTCTGTATTTAAGACTGACTGAGGCTGGCTAGTTAAGATAACCCCGAGCGGGTAACGTTTACCTTTCAGATGCATATGGCGCATTGCGTGACGCGTTTGTCGCTGAGCCTCACCTGCCGCCCTGGACCGGCTCTAAAAGCCGACCTGCTCCTGCTGCGGCCCGACGTGCCGTCCCACTCTTCGTCGTCATACTCGTCGTCCTCGTCGTCCTCGTCATCCTCGTCGGGCTCGCCGTCCCGACCATAGTCCACGTCGACCCTGCGCGCACGGTGCGGGTGGTCCCAGCCTCCCGCATCCTCGTCCTCATGCTCTTGCCGTCCCCGCGATCTGCCGCGGCTGCGAGACCTCGGATGTCCTCTGGGGACGGGCAGCCCGTGGATGGCGGCGGCCTCCAGGTAGCCGTCGTACGGCGCGTGGACCCCCACCGCCACCCCAAGCCGCCTGCGGCCTGGCAGCGAGGCGGCGTTGGCCCCGGGGGTCCACGAGTGGTCGTCACCGAAGTCCTGGACGAGAAGAGGCGCGGGCGTAGTCGCTTTCACACTGCCAACAAACTTCATAGTTAGAAACCAACAAATGCACAAATGGCGTCGCCAGTAAAATCTAAAAAAAAGTTTAGCCTTCGCGCGCCCCGTAACGCCTGATAGGTAGGCAGAGTCGTGCGTGCACCGCATGCCTGTACTGCGGGTTGGCCTAACCTGAGTCTCGCAGGCGCCGAGCTCCTGCCATGTGCCCAACGAATCGGAGGAAAACAAACGTACACCAGCTCCTCGACCTACTTGTATTTGGGCGGGTGTTGCTGCTGGTGCTGCAGGGCGCGCGCGAGGCGCCGGCGCCGCGCCCCGGGGCAGCCTTTGCAGAGCCACAGCTTGGCGTACGTCCACTTGAACGACTTGGCCAGGATGTCGCCGATGTTGGACAGGTACAGGAGGAACAGCGGCATGCCGATGATCGCGTACAGCACCGTCGTGATCTTGCCCCAGTCGGTGCGCGGCGTCACATTGCCGTAACCTGCAGGGGTACAGGTGAGAAATTACAAGTGGAATTCACACGTTCACTCTATACCTAATAGGCTCAATCTGCACTTCCAAGTGTGCGAAATTCACACTCCTGGTTTTCCAGTGTGCTCCGACGACTCTATTTTTCGCATCCACACACGCCGTTCGTGGACGGCACACTAGAAATGGAACAACGCAAATGTAAAAACGCCGGAGAGGCAGGGTGGGCCAGGACCGGGGGGCGCTTTTTGTCCGATTGCACACCCGACTGGACACTGCTGTCGCGCTGCCGGCACCCTAGCTTCGGGGTGGGGCACCTCGACCGACACTGCTTTTTAAAAAAAATAATGCTATGGCAAAATTAAAATTCACTCCATAAAAATAATGATCAACCTACAGGAAAATTCACAGTTAAGGGTTATCTGAAGCGAATTTTAAATCGTAGGTGGAATTTTGTCAACACGAAACACTACCTTGTCGTCCAACCACGCTACCGTGGTTATTTGAATTTGGCATCTATTCTGGGATCAGTTCAGCTAGAGACGGCCCAACTGGGAAAAAAGAAGAGACCCTCCGGCGACTGGTGGGCCGGGGGTAGGGTAGGGGGTGACCAGCCAACGCTGACAGTTTTCAACAACAGATGCAACAACACTGGTAAAACAAATGTTCAATTTTGCACGTCAATTGGTGTTCAAGTTCAACAATTTTGACACGCTCAATCAGAGCGATGACTTTAAGGTAGGTTCACCCTACTTGAGTGAGTCATATGCATCGAATCTTCACTCTGGTTGGGTAAGTTTTCCATGGCCTGCTCATTTCAGTGAGGAATCTCACTCTCATTGGGTGAGGACAGCAAATATGACTCAAATTGAGTGAGAGTCAGATATCTCGCTCTCAGGTGAGTGAGATTTTTTGTGTCACTGATCTCGCTCTCCTGAGAGTAAGATATCTGACTCTAGCATTTTTAGTTATATGGTTACTATTGAAAGCATAGAAATGTGGGTGTCAAAGTTTTCAGAATTTAAACGTTTACAAACCGTTTAAAATATGCACACCACGCAAGTGTGCAACTTGAGTTGAACACCATGTAATGTTTAAAACCATAACTTGCACACGTTGTGCACACTTGTTTTACTAGTGATGTATACATTAAACTATGCGCATTCTTCCTTGTACAAGAATGCATTCCTTGGATATTCGTAATTCCAAGAGAGAGAGAGAGAGAGAGAGAGAGAGAGAGAGAGAGAGAGAGAGAGA